GAACCAAGTGGACAAGACGCCGGGCCTCCATCGACGTCGGGGACATGGTGCTGGTAGTCGATCCCTACCTTATTCAATCAAACGGGAAGTGGCCTCTGGGCAGGATCATTGGCGTCCATCCGGGTCGCGATGGCCTGAATCGCGTCGCCGTCGTGCGGACTGCTCGGGGAATCTACACTCGTCCCATCGTCCGGCTGGTGGCTCTCCCAATCAAGACGGCGCTTGAGGCTGGTCGTGAAGAAGTTTCAGACGCTGGTCCGGACTCATAAAGGGTCGTTCAAGAAACGAGGCGGGCGGTGTTCGTAAAAAATAATCGTTACGTTTGTCATGTTATGTTTTATGTATTTATTATTCCGTTATGGTTATTATTATGTATTTTTTATGTTGTCGAGTTCTCCGTTACCACTGTGACTCATGTGAATGTGATCGCGTTAGTTATTAAGTACATTAAGTACAATTGTATTACGCGCCATGCGATTTATATCAGAGCACACTTCATGCTTATCAGCTCGACTCCCCACTCTCATCTGTGAGAGCGAGTACGCCGTACACGAGACGCATGCTGCTGCGTCAGCTGCTATCCAGCGGTGTACTTCTGTGCGACCAAATATTATACAAAAATAAAGAAACCGTCGTCTATTAAAAACAGTGCAGTGTCTTTTTTCTACCCTCTCGCTGTGAAAATTCATTCACAAGGTATTTATTATATATATACCTCATAAATACAAGGTATTTATTATATACCTTGAAAATACAAGTTATTTATAAAATATATACCTTGTAAATATATAATAAATTTATTTTTTTTTTTTTTTTAGTCATCGATTTTCCAGATTGGTCGGGTAGGCCAGAACTTTTAGCGCGAGACTCTTTCAACGCGTAATATACAGAAGATAACTCTACTTTTGTAAATTGTACATCTGTCAATTGTACTTTTATCAACAATAATAATTTTGATAGTAAATAATAATATTATTCTCGCGATAAAACTAGGAAATTCATATACCAGACCGGAGTATTTTTTTCTGAATTCTGACGTAAAAAAACGATTCCTTGAATTTTTTCAGAATTTTTCATTCATGTCCATTCAGCCTAGAGCTGAAAACCCGCTTTTTTTCACGAAAATAATTTTTTTAAGGCGCTACGGAGTCTCAAAAAAACTAGAAAAATTTTTTTCTCATTTTGTTCATCAAAATAAATAATCTCAAATTTTTTCAGATTTTTTAATTGAAGGCGATAGCTTCTGGAGCCGAAAAACGTTATTTTTAACAAAAAAGGTTCCTGGAACCCGATGGTTCCGGTAAAAAAATTTGAAAAATTTTTTTTTAAATTCCTTGTCAAATTTTAATAAATTTTGACCGTTTCAAAAGTTCGATTGAAGCTTCCTTGCTCATTCTAGAGCATAACAAAGATTAATGCGAAATTCTGAAGATAACTGAAAAAAATGTAAATATGATGAATGTCTTTGGATTGTTGAAAAGTACCCTCATGAATTTTTCAGATTTTTTAATAGCTTCAGGCCTCCAGAAAAAATATAGATAGAAAATGGACGTCTATAGGGGAGGAGGGGGGTAGGAGGGGGGAAGGGGTCCAAAATTTTGGTTTTGGCACTTTTTTATCATGTACTGTAACATACCAAAATTTCAGGAAAATCCGTGAACCTCGCCCGCAGGTTTATTTGAAAAATTCTGAATCTGACCCATATATATTATGAATGTATTCGAGTTGCTCGATTCATCTGCGTTAATATCCAGTTGCTAGTCGTATTTAAGCATAACACTTTAAATGACAGAAAAACTGGATCTTTTAAACGTTCACGTGGAATACAGTATTTTTAGTCCAAATTAAACTTGTATCATCGCAAAGTTCTTTTCTCGACGAACAATTTAAAAAAAATAGAGCTTTCTACGATTATTTTAGCACCCTGTAGACTATTTTGTAGATACCGCTTGCAGTACATAAAATACCTCGTCTAAATAAAATCGAGTCTGCTCAAATCGTTAACTTGATAGCGAAATATTAAAAAAAAGCATGTTAAAACGTAAAATTTTCTGCTCTTTTAAAATTCGTAGTTAAAAATGGGTACTTTTATAGCTAGGTAGATATTGCGCGATTTGAGTAAGTAATATGGTGTAGCGTGGGGGGGTTGACGTGAAATGCTTCCTATATGTTTACATTATAAGATGCGTCCATCTAACTGGTGTTCATTTCTTTGTAATGCTTGACTGCGTTTATGATTTTGCTTGTTTTTTGGCATCGACTATAAATGGTTTATTGAAAAAAATCACAGTCCTTTTCAATTTTTATTACATTCAGTTGGACTGCGAAACGAAAAAAATTAACAATTATCATACTATTTGCTTTAAAAAAAAGATCGATTGTTTAAAACCATAAGCCTTGCTTTTTTATCAATTTTCAAGTCCAAAATTTTACAAAAAAGCATATTACGCATGCATGCTCCAAAAAAAAAATGTTTTTTTTTATCGGAAAGTTAAAAGTTTCTCGGATTTCCACATATAGGCAAAATACATTATAAATTGGGTGGCAAAACTATTTGGTAACTCTTAAAATTATCGCAAATAAACATAAAAAAATCAAAAACCCAATTCCAAAGTATTTTTCAACGAAGGATCCAATGATAACCTTGAATTTGACCTTGAACATAACGTCTAAGCTATAGCGAACCAAAATTGATTTTTCGCACGGTGACCCCCTTTTTCATTTCAGATTTGAAAAGAGCGGAAAATTTCACGTTCAAACATATATTTGGTTTTTTTTTTTAAGGTAATTTTAAGGGCGCAGATCCGAGAACCTCCTGCACAAAAGTTGTACATATATAAAAAAACTGCTCACATATATATTTTAGTTATGTATTTATTGATCGTACTTATTTATAAGTATTTATTTTTTAAAAATTGTAACTGGCACACTTAGAGAGTTCATTGAGAACTGTATATTTTCCAACATTCAGCCCTCTCAGTCCACCTTGTGTCTACAGAGTTTGAAAGTTGAATTATCATTTATAACGTTTTGCTATGAATTTCTGTCCTAGTTTAGAAAAAATATTGAATCCATGATGTTTTGTAAATAATTTTAATTTTTGTCAAATTTTGAATCAAAAATATTTTTTCATAATCAATCCAGAAAAGTAGAATAAAATTTGATAAATAAAAAATCTAATTGTAAGCTTCTATTGATCCACGAGAGATGGTGTCATGTACAAAGCCGTCGATGCGTTCACGCAGAGGCAGCGTTGGATTGCAAGCGACTACAATATATCTGCCCGTCACTGTTTTATCGATATAGCTAGCGTTGCCAAATTTTGACTCAAACAGTACCATAACATTGTCACGGTGTATGAACTTATAAAAGTGTAAAACATGCCAATATGCATTTTTCATACTTATTATAATTGCTGCATAATTTTGAAGGGCATAAATTTGAACGGTATAAAAATATGAAAACGGATTGCACAGAAGGTAAGTTGGCAATGTCTGATACATTGATAAAACAGTTACTGTCAAACAAATTGTAGTTACCCGGAATCCAACGCTACGCAGATGACGTCTTTGGAGGTTGGTACATTAGCGATCATGGTCATGAAGATAGGTTCGATTTCATTTTGTGTGTTTCAACTTTTTTTTCTAATGTAAACCACGATATTTTTTAATTTAGATATTGCGGACGTGATATTTGCTCGAAGACTATGAGACTTCAAATGGTTTCCGATTGGACAATCGACAAATTAAAATTAAAATTTTTTTCAAAATTACATTTTTTGGGATGAAATCAAGTACAGGCAAACCCCGTTATCTGCGGATTCGTTATCCGCGATTCTTCGTATCCGCGGTACCCCTATTTGTGACCCAACTTCAGTATCCGCGGTTTTTTGTTTTCGTATCCGTGGTTTTTTTCTGGAGGTTAACATTTTGTGCGCGTCAAATTTAAAAATTTTTTTATTAATTTTTATTTAATATGTCTCGACCAACACCAAAAAAAACAGTTTCAATCGAAAAAAAGGGCGATAGAAAAGTTCTTAATTTGGTCGAAAAGATCAAAATTCTCGACGCGTTGGCAGCTGGTGAAGAAGTTGCTACCCTCGCAAGAAGATTCAACGTCAACGAGTCTTCGATCAGAACAATCCGCGACAACGAGAAAAAAACTCGAGAGAGTGCGAAATCTTTGGGGAAGCATGCAGAACAATGCAAGATAAGTCGCTCGCCTCGTCTTGAGAAAATGGAAGACATGCTCATTGTTTGGCTGCAAGATTTGATGCACAAAAAAATTCCGATCGGTGGAGATATCATACGCGAGCAAGCTAAGTATTTTTACAATCATATTCAAAAAAATAGCGCTTACAGCCAAAATTATTGGAAAAATTTTAGCTGATGCAGAACAACTCATTGAACGAGCCATAAATCATGATCCAATAATGACTCGCAGCCTTTAATTCAAGCAAGATACAACAAAATCATTGCAGTGTTATGAAAGTTTATACAAAGATTTGATGCGCAGAGCGAAGCAAAAAAGTTTGACTGAGTATTTTACTCGAAAATAAATAAATACTTTGATTTTTCATAAAAAAGGTGTTTTAATCTTTTGTACATTGACATTTCAGCTGGGCGAGGAACCGAACCCCCCTTTTCCCATAAAAACAATGCTTCGGTATCCGCGGTTTCAGTATACGCGGTACTTTTTCGGAACCGAACCCCCGCGGATAATGGGGTTTGACTGTATAACTTTTGACCTGATAATTTTTACAAAAATCTAAGATTAGATTCAGATTTCCGAAAAAGCATTAAATTTGACATTAGACTTGCTTACTCGCAAATTTTTTGACTTCATTTTTACCAAAAATACAGAGTCTGAAATAAGTGACGAAAAAACATCTTCTTGAGACTTAAGAGGTTAACAGTTCAGTATGCTAGAATGTTTTCTATTAACACATTTAAGCTACTACATAATTTTAATTAACTTAATAAGAAAATAAATTTACGTACCCTTGGTAATAATTCAAAAAATGGTCCAATCCATAAAAGAACAAATAATAAAATTCCACATGAAATTAAGCTCGATATTTGACTCCGTCCCCCAACAGATTGTTGAATCAGAGATCTTGATAAGGATGCACAAAATGGCATACAAGAAAAAAAAGAACCTACTAAATTTCCTAAACCCTATAATGAAAATAAACAAAAACGTTGTTAAGTTAAAATCGAATGTACGTTAAAAATAATTATATAATAAGCTCAAAAAAAATTAAACCTCAATTTGTCATAGAATTAAAAAAACCTCATTTCATTCACACAACAAAAATTAATTTAGAAAACTGCCATATACATTTTCGTTGTTTAAAATTAGTCTAAATTATCACTCATAACTACAGTTTAAAAAATCGATTTTGAGATTTTTAACTTAGATTAAAATTTATCATTAAATCAGCATTTACAATCAAATCAGCACTGTGTCGAACCCACAGGCTCTCGTGTATGTAGGTGTGTCGCGCCGTCTGTCGCGAAGCAGAAGTGACGCGAGAAAACGTCTGTCATCTTCCACTTGGGTGTGAGTGGTGATGATCGAGTGACTAGCGTCGCATACATTAAAACTTTTTGAGACTCCGAACTAATTACCCGAGCGGTGATAGCGAGCGAACAAAAGCAGTGCAAATAAAGTTATCGATTACCAGTGAACACTTGTTATCATTCGATACTGCACCCTTCATCCTGCAATCATCTAACCAAGTGATTTCTGGCCTCTGAGCTACATAGAGCTCTCTACATCGCAATATTACGATTAAAAAGAGTGCTTGATCCTGTTCATTTAAATTGCTTGATACCTCGCAGATGTGAACGATTCTCAATATGCGTTAAAAACTGAAGTGTAAAGATATTATAATTTTTTATGGCAGTACACACATGGAAAACATTTTTTTTGAACATTTAGGTGTGAAAATCAATAAAATAATGTTGCCACTTATTTTTGAAAAAGCTTTATTGAAAAACAACCCCTCCAAAGTTAAGTTAATTTTGGCGTGAATTTTATATGACACGGACGCGCCTAGGAAAAAAATTGTCTGCAGAAAAAGTTTTAGAATTGTTCAAAGAAGAACCCTAAATTTTTTCAGAAATTTTTGGAGCAATTTTTGGGTTTTTCAACGAAATGGTCACATGCAAAAATCCAAAAGTCTGATTGCTCGGGGCACTGTTCCCACTGCGGACAAGCAGGCCACCAGGTAGAGGATTGTACGAACAAACCAACATGTGTTTTTTGTCAAGAACGAGGCACTGACTACGACAATGCGTCTACAAGCGAGTTCTGCCCTCTCGCGCAGAAGACCACTCAAGCCCGCCGATGATAAAGATCTTACAGCTTAATCTCAATCACTGGGAAGCTGCTCAGGATCTCCTGAGCTAAACCATTTGCGAGCAGCGCATCAACGTGGCCATACATGGCAAAACTTTTGAACATGTTTCACGCTCGAATTCTGAAAACGAATCACACACGAGTTTTTCTTAGTTCGTTTCGTCACCAGCACTGAGAGCGATTCACACTCATCTCGAGGTAACTCTCCCAAAATCCAGCCACAATTCAATTCAAATGAAAATCGCATATTTCAGAAAATGTAATAATACCATCGGAAAGATGAGGGAATTTCCTATCGAATACTGTATAGTCAGTTACTTTTTTAGATGAGTTTTGATACTTTTTCAACAACTCAGAAATCGAGTAATTATTTACGTGAAAACTTGATGTTTTGTCTTGAAAAACACAAAACTGACCAAATAAATACCTATCTTCAAATTTCATGTTCACGCGTTTTTTTGTGTTTCTAGTACCCCTAGGAACAATTTTCATGGGTTTGGGACTCTGGGCAAGCAAAAAAAAAAAAATATCACCTTTTTTTGTTAATGAAACTAAAGTAGTTGAGTAAACGAAGTGTCACTTTTGTTTTATAAAAAAGGCAGGTATTGTCGCGAATAAGCGAGGTTTGCAGCCACGTTCAGCGAACAAGTGGAATCGAGACTGAGGCATACTCTCATTCATCTGATGCGGTGATTTTAGTTAGCAGTCTTTTGTATCGATTATTCGTGCCAACAGTGGGATCGCTTAAGCATACCATTTTGTCGCAACTTTTACTTTAATACTTGATCACACAATAAAGCAAATTTGGAAGTTAAATAATCTTCAAGTCATTCAGCAAAATTGAACATTAATGTACTCATTAAAATATTTACACTGATCCTATAGTTATATGTTGAATATATTATTAAATGATATGTACCTGGGCGAATAATTCTTGATTGGAATCGACTTCATAATTGCATTTTTGAGCAAAAATAAGAGCCATTGACATGGATATTGTGTAGGATATCATAGTGATTACAAAACTATCTAAAATTATATTCGATAATAATTCCATAGGAGGTAATATAGGATGAGGCAAACTGTGAAAGTAACCATTTATTAATATCTGCACTAAAATAATAAATGTTATATATCTTACCCAACAGGAATTTTTCCAACGGTAGTAATACTGTAATTATTTTCCAAATCAGTATAGATCGATAAAATTGTGCCTAAGACAACTACAATCATTTCGATAGGAATAGGAAACCTGCATAATTTGGCTGCTCGGGGCTAACAAACAACAAAACAAAGAAAATTAATGATAAAACAAACAGTTTTAATTATAAATTTTCTCACCTTTAATACTTCGTTGTTAAAAATTATAACAATAATTGTTATTGCTGAGATAATTGCAGCTGCAATATTTACCTCATGAATATTTGCAAAGATGTCATAAAATGTCTACAATCATGAAAAAATTAATATTCTTTAATAATTGAAAAGATAGATTTCTATAATTTGAAAAAAATTTTGTAAAATATAAGCAGAATTATATTTAAGAAAGTTGAATCGCTGAAGAGGTGAAACATAAAGTTGTTAAAGATGATTTTTTGCGTGAATTCAAACGATTGTTATTGTTGGTCCAAACCCTTTTTGTATGTATTAAATAGTAATTTTGACTTTGGAGCTAACGGGCATTAAATTTTGAGTGAAATATGTATTCATGAAATATTAATTGAAGGTCGATAATGTGACTCTAAATTGCGATGCAATTCAGCAAAAAAAATGGTACCCGGACCAAAATAAAAAGGTCAATACCGGTAGGGTCAAAACTATTAAAAGGTCAAAGACAAAAAGGTCACAATTAAAAAAAGGTCAAATACCCCAAAGATCAGCTCAAAAAAAGATAAAAAAAATAAAAACGTACAGTTCAGTGCGAGCATATATATGCTACGTAACTTCGTCTGTTTATCTACATAGTTGCTATTATTTACAATTTAAAATTAATATTCTCCCTCTACACAGACGACGTACATTCGTAGCAGAACAAACAACGCATCTGAAGGATGGCACAATCGATTCCAGATGGTTGTCGGAAGACGCCACCCAAGCCTCTATGCTTTTTTGGCTGAATTGCAACACGAGCGAGGCGATACCGAGACAATTTTGCATCTGCTAGATTTGGGCCAGGCAGTTCGGGACATGGCAAAAGGCAAGTTGCAAGAGGTAGAAGACAGGATATCTAACATCGTTAGGCGCTACGACGGGTACGTCGAGGACGACAACGTTCCAAAATACCTCAAGGATCTGGGACATCACATGCACCTATAGATTGGACGATATTTCAGTATTTTTTTTTTTTTTTTTTTTGACTTTTTTAGGCTTTTGACCTTTTTGGTGTTTGACATTGCAGGGGTTTGAACCTTGCGGTCTGACCTTTTTGTACCGGAATCAAAAAAACAACACATAAATAAGTCGTGGATTTTATTTCTTACCAAAATAACTTTGAAAATATCGTTGCGTTTTTTGAGCTTTAGTCCTAAAAGATCTTTGATCTGAGATACAAATACATGTACTGCTGCAGCTGTAGTAAATCCGCTAACTAACGCATCAGATAATAAAGTTGATATTATACCTAGGCGCAAAAAGTACATTGCTAGCTGAAAAAAGAAAATACTTATGAATAACAATGTATATAATAGAAATGAATAATTCTTGTATGTGATTAATGAACTTGTATTAAATATTCTAGCAAATGAATAAATAATCTGTATTTATAAATTATTAGACAATATTTACGTTACTATAAACTTCAATTTTGATCGGATGAAATATATTTTTTATGGATTTTGTGTCTGCAAAAATTTCAAAAATTTATTTCCAGCTCCAGATTATCTAGCTCTAAATCCGATATTAGTTCTGATGCAGGTACCTCAGATTATACATCAGATCTTATATAAGATTGTCGATGATCGATTAATACCTAACATAAGATCTTGTGTCAGATCAGGCATAAAAAATTATGTAAGTTCTGATATTCATTTTATTGTGTAAAATTTACATCAGTTCCGACATCAAATCTAATGTAAAGTATTATAAGCATTCATCAAAACTAACATATGATTTACTATTAGATTGTTCGCTCGTGCATGTCGGTTTTGAATTTAAAACTTCGTCAATCGTGCACTCTCAGCGGTATAAGATCGCGTACGTGTCGTTGGCAACCTCTTGGCTCGTGCCAAGTGACATTTGAAAAAGTATACTCGCTCAGAGCAGGCGATAAAGCTAAATTCTCGATCCTATAGCATCGACTTTCGGATTCAGATTTTATTAAGTTTTTTGTGCACATACTTACGTTGTAATTATTAAAGTGTTGTTATTGTTATTCTTAAAAAACCGAGTCTAAATTCATACTATGATTCGACGGCAAATATTCTCGAAAAGAGTAACGAGTAAAAGCCAATAATCTTACATACCCCGCTCCCCGTTCCTTCACACAATTACAAGATTTTTTTCTCTCTCCATTACTCCTTCTACTTGAGAAGGGCCTGCAGGGGGCTGGAGCCCGCGCGCAGGAAGAGATTACTACTATACCCCCTCCCTATTGTCTCGCATTTGCCCAGACCCAAGGACCTGTGGGGCAAGGAAAACCTGGGGGTATACGTAGTGCATATGCACTACACCCTCCTCCTCCATCCTCCAGGAAAAAACCCGCGCCGAGACAGGCGGAGCACATGGATTCTCATCCCGCCGAATGACAATGGGAAATATTCGATTGTCTTCAGTAGGATTTGAACCCAAGGCTCCTCGAGCGGCCTTTGTTTCTGTAGCTAGCACGCTAACCATTGAGCCAACGACCGCTCTTAGATTTAGTATCAGATCTGATGCACTAGTACCCCTAGCAAAAATTACACGGGCACACAAAAAAAAAATGCTCAGTTCCAGAGACCGGACCCAATAGACTTTATGTTTTTGGGGTCGCTGAATCCGAATCCGTCGTCGGTTTTTCACCATCAGATCGATTTTAGGTCATTTGAAGATCATTTAAAGGTCAAATCATGAAAAATAGGTTTAAAAATCTGAAACTATCCCTTTACAGGTTTATGAGGATGCTGAATTCAAATCTGAAGTCAGATGACCTCTACGATCTTACCTTCAAGGTCATTTGAAGGTCAAACTTAGAAAATTCGATATAAAAATACGAAAAGTATCTTATTTATGTATTGGTGCGTAAAAAAAGGTGCGTTACAAAAGAAAAGGGTAAAAAGGAATGCAAAATTAACAATATTTCATCAAGTTTTGCCCTCTTTTTATTAACTTAATCTTGAAATGAGCTTAAAATAATAAAAATATTGAACTAAAATCAACGTGGATTATCTCAATTATCCTTGTGGATCAGCTCAAAATCCGCGAAGATTGAAAAAAAATCAACGTGGATCAGTTAAATACCCACGGCAATTGCATTTTTTTCAAACCATGATCGATCCACCTGGAATCTTTGTATAATCCACGTGGAACCCCTGTATGATCCACGTGGAATCTCTGTGCGATCCACATGGATAAGTAATCCACGTGGATATCTATGTAATTATTTTTAACTGGGTGGCTTATGAAAATAGGTGATAGCAGGTCTCAAAATTTCTAACAAAATTGAGGCGTTTTATTTGACTAATTTTTAGACCTGTTCATTTTACTATTTTTCATTTAAGACATCCTATTACGAGTTAGAATATTACAAAGATTTTATCATAAATTAGAAAATGATTTTTAAAGTAGGCCCTAATGTCCATTAGATCAAATTAAGCAAAGAGGGCTTCATTATTAGGTACGGAGAGACCAGAAAAAAATTTTCAGGACTTTTGGTAACTCGCCATTCATTTGGTCTCCTTGCGAGATACAGCAATTTCCGGGAGCCTTTTTCTTATACTTGACAGTGTGCTTAAAGAGCATATAAGTTTGCTAAAGCTACCCCCAAATTCTGTAGTAATTGTTTGAAAGCATGTGAACCGCTGATTATGAAACCGTTCGAACAAAAATCCTATAACTACTACTTTAGTGAAATGCTCCCGTAAATTGCATTAAACTGTTATCGCAGTTATTTTATATTGTTATTTTTTAGGGTTTATTCATTTGAAACATATTATACTCACTTAAATTCATATTCGTAGTTGTACAGCTTCAAAGTGCAAACAACCACCTTTAATTTGGTTATTGTAAAAACATTCTGAGTCATATAGAACTTGCGATACAGTTGAATCCCTAATTTTTTCACTTATACACACAGATATAGAAATCAGGTATAGCTCCTGCGCGCGGCTATCAAGACCAGCAAGCGCCTGTGCTGGAACAAACTATGCGACGAGGTCGACCAAGACGTATGGGGCAAGCCATACAAGATGGTCATATCCCGACTATGAGGACCGAGAGCAAATTTGCCAAGCTCTCCGTGCCTGGTGCGCCGCATAGTGGCTGCCCTTTTCCCTCTTGTGCATGACGAGCCAGCTCTGCCACCACCAATCCAGACAGGAGAAATTTTACCAACCGTCAATCTTGAAGAGCTCCAAAGAGTATGCAAGAGGATGAAGGTGCGCTCTGCACCCGGCCCGGATGGCGTACCCAACTCGGTGCTCAAGATTGCTATTGCCGCACGTCCCGACATCTTCTTGCGGGTGTACACGACATGTCTGAAGACCGGCTAAAAGTGCCAGAGGCTCTTCCTGCTTCCAAAGCCAGGCAACCCCCCCCCCCCNCCCCCCCCCCCACGAGCCGTCCTCGTATCATCCGCTGTGTATGCTAGACACGGCAGGCAAGATTCTTGAGAGAATCATATCCAACCGGCTGGAAGCGTTCACAGAGAAATCTGGAGGCCTTTTAGAGCGATAGTATGGCTTTCAGAGGGGGCGATCAACAATTTAGCGCTTTACGCCGTTTGCTCGTACCCGATTACTTGCTGAGAATAATTGCCAGCTACTTCTCGGCAAGAGTGCTCGACTTCACTACGGACGATGGCCTGGAGTCCTACGAAGTCACAGCAGGTGTCCCACAGGGGTCAGTTTTGGGCCCGGTTCTGTGGAATGTCATGTATGACGCCATCTTGCGTCTCAACTTCGAGAGCGAAGTCCGTATCTTCGGCTTCGCTGGCGAAATCGCCGTGGTGGCTGTTGCCAAGCACCTACGGCAGATCGAACAAGATCTGAACGCTGCCATCCGACAGGAGTGAGGCGCGCTCCAAGCTCTCAGCTTGCAAACAGCTGACTACAAGACGGAGGCTCTGCTCATTACCAACAAGAGGGAAGTGGAAACCATCACCATCACGGTAAGCGATCACAGCATACACTCGCCCCCCTCCATCCGATACCTGGGCCTGCACATCGACGCCAAGCTGAAGTTTGATCACCACCTCCAAACAGTCAGCGCGAAGGCAGCCGGTGTGATCGGTGCCCTCACGAAAATCATGCCCCACTCTGGCGGGCCCAGAAATAGCCAACATAAACTGTATGCTCACGTCGTCGACTCCATACTCCTGTACGGAGCCCCCATATGGAGCACAGCCATAAAAAAGCGGGCCTAAATTCGCCAGGTGGAGTCAGCCCACCGACGAGCCTGCCTACGTGTGATCGGTGGCCGGCCGCATGTCTCTTACGAGGCGACATACATTTTTGCCGGCATACCTCCGCTGACCCTCCTCGCGGACGAGCGAACGCGGCTCTATGGTCGCCGCCGGGAGGACGCAAGGGACGAGGAAGGCTTGGCAACGCTAAGTAAATAGCAGGAAGAATGGGACCAGTCGACGAAGGCCCGATGGACGCATCGGCTGATCCCAAATATCAAAGTGTGGATCAAGATGAGACACGGAGAGTTGAACTACCACCTTACGCAACTCTTGACCGGGCATGGCTCATACTCGCGAGCGAGCCGAACTAGCTTGCGGTTGTTTCCTTCGCCCACTCAGTTGTGATAAGACTGAGAGATGAAGTAATGGACAGAAGGGGATGACCGGACGATGCTGATAGAAGAAGATGCCACCCCACTCAAGCCCCCATGAAGCGCATAATGGCAAACCCTTTATCCCCGTAAAGTAATGCCTAACAGCGGTTTCTGTGGGGATGGAACAAAAGGAAATTGAAGTGAATGTATCTGTGGTGACGCACTTCAGAGCGCTTGCACATATATATTTTTGATGAGCTGCAATTGTTTAATGATTTACGTTTTTTTTTGTTGCTTGGGAGATCTAGAGAGATTTTGTTAGAGCCTCAGTTTCGTTGCGACAGTCACCTAGAAAAGATCTCAATAAATTCAATAGCCGTTGTTTATTATTATATTGTAGTTTTCATTACCCATCACTACAAATTGGTGACCCGGACTAAAAATTCATTATCTCTTCAGTAACTTGCGAGTACTACAGAGCAATATCTTTGGCTGCCACATTTTCTCTTTAAACTTTTTACAATAGTTTTGGAACGCGATGATAATCTTCGTCGCAAAAAGCAGCAACGCCGTATAAAGCAGCAGTGCATCGAGCAGCAACCCCTTGCAGAGCAGCAGCGTCTCGAGCAGCAACGTCTACCTATAGCAGCAGGAAGTTTGGCTGATTTACAATAGCGAAATATACCACAGGACAACATTCCTGCTGGATTTGGTGGTCCTCAAGTTTACCACG